TAAGCTACGGCAGGTCATCCACACTACTGACAAACCACGTTGCATAATGTGAGATGCGTCTTAGTTCACATCATGCGTGTCTCCAAATATCTTCTGTAAGTATTTTTCAGTTGGTTTTGAGTCCATGACAGGATTGGTGATTCATTCACAGAGCCACATGCACACCATGGTCAGCACCTTACCAACACTGGGTCTATGACAGGGGTGTCCAGCTCCAGGCCTCGAGGGCCGGTGTCCCTGCAGGTTTTAGACGTGTCCTTGAACCAACACAGCTGGTTTAAATGGATAAATTAGCTCCTCGACATATCTTGAAGTTCTGCAGAGGCCTGGTAACGAACTAATCATGTGATTCAGGTGTGTTGACCCAGGGTGAGATCTAAACCTGCAGGACACCGGCCCTCGAGGCCTGGTCTATGAGCATGCTGGGTTAGATCCTTCCATCTCTGATCAGACTGTTACCAGGATGACTTGTCCTGCAGCAGTACCCACACATTTCTGCACAATGCACACGCAGGTCTTTGTGGATCACAAGCACATTCACACACACACTGCAGGGTGCACGCATCACAAATGTTGATCAGTTCATCAATAGCAGACCCAGATACTTGTGCAGCAAACAGGCGCTTGCACCACAGCAGGACGAAGCCCAAAAGAATCCCCATTTAACGAGTGCTGTAATGTGGAAGCTAATGAAAGGGCTTCATCTGCATAAACTTCAAGCCTAAAGACATGCATGGTTCCTGCATTGATGCTCCTTAGCTCAGTATCAAGCAGGGTGCTGCAGAACAGTTTACTCTGCAGGATCGATACTGGTTCTTCATTTAGAGAAAAACCAGAAACACCAGTTTACCAGGAATGTGCAAATATTCAAACACATGTGGGACATCAGCTGGCAGAGGTGCGTTTGACAACTTGGATGTCTGAGACCAGGCCAGCGTCGCCATTATAAAAGCGGTGTGACATCACACCCACTCTGTACGCGGCCTCGCCTACAGCTGTAGTACAAGTTTGATGTTTCATACACTTTCACTCAACTTTATACATGTTTCTATGATCGAGTTAAGAAGTTAGTCTGGCTGCAGCTGCAGTCCTGTGTGTGAAACACCACGTCTGCACCAGCTCCTGACACAGCATCAGGTTATTTGCTGTTTATGAACGTTAGAAAAGATTTGAAAGAAATCTATTTGTGCTTTTGAACCATACAAACAAACAATGAGAAGAAACAACTCCAAATGGTTTCATTGTTATTACACCCGATCAGCTGGTAACTAAATGAGCCGACCAGTCCCATCTTTCTCTTTTCCACTCACTTCTCCCATTTCTGTCTGGTTCATTATCCTGACCTTCGTCCTCCAACACACACAAACATCTCAACTGTTGATACAGAAAAATATAACCCAGACTCACAGAGCTCCAGCCATGTAGTCATGCAGCAGGGTTTGTAGTCAATGAGCCCGTTGAGTCATACGGATGACCAGCAGGCGTTTTTATTCTTACAGCGCCTGTCTGGTAGACGCACTACGAGCCTGGCACTTTGCATGAAGCTGCTTCCCTCCACAGGTTTACATGGAGCCAGCATGTCAACAGAGGTTGACCCTGGATTAGTATTATTATCATTACTACTACATTTCTCACGCTTTGATGATAAAACTTCAGTAAAAAACACAAGTTGCACAGTGTTGGAAGGTCAGCAGTGCTGGGAAAACTGCAGTCAGTGGGAGCATGCTGGAAACACAGGTTTGTTTTAGCAGACATCCTATCATGTCGGCTCAGTTTATGGGCCTCTGCTGCTCGGCGTTTCACCCAAACAAGCTGACAGAAAACACCGCACACATGTAACGGCCCTGAACCCCACGGCTCTGCAAACGTCACAGGCCCGGGTCCCACATCTTCACAGGACTAAAACCAACACGGCCCGGGGCCAGATTTACAGCTGGGTGGAACAACAAGCTCCATCTGGTCTGTGTCCAAACACTGCAGGGGCAGGAAGAAAGCCTCTGAAACTTCGGAGGAAATAAGTAACAAATACACGGCCATTGTTTGAAATACTCGTCATTCCCTCGCCGTAGCAAAGATATATCAGATTTGGCGTTTTCAAACAAAGGTTATATGAACAAGATGGGAGAGAAGCCAGAGCTGAAATCTATGGAGGAATTCCACAACAGCTTTTATCCAACCATGCAGATCTTATGTCAGAGAGACCAAGAAATTCAAGGTCATCTGAATAATACTGCTCTGAACTGAGTGCATGCATGTAATCCACTGTAACCGTGCATTACATGCATGCACCCGCAGACTGATTAATCCCACACGTATGCAACTGTGTGAACAGAAGATAAAATAGTGCTGCTGTAATACCGTTTATAGTTATAAAGTCCTAAACTCCTATCTGTGAGTGAAAGCTGCCTCTGAGTGTGTCAAAGACACAGATGTACTTACAGTCCCAGCCAAACAGACACGTTCTACTGATGGCGTCAACAACACTGTTAAAGCTGTGGCCCAACATGTCGTCATCTCCATCCTGCCTCCTGATACGTCCACGCCGGCTAAATTTGTCTCTGGACGCGCTCATTAAATGGTAAATGGCCTGCATTTGTATGGCGCTTTTTTCTAGTCCATAGGACCCCAAAGCGCTTCACACTACATTCAGTCATTCACACACTGCTGATGGCAGCTACATTGTAGCCACAGCCACCCTGGGGCGCACTGACAGAGGCGAGGCTGCCGGACACTGGCGCCACCGGGCCCTCTGACCACCACCAGTAGGCAAACACGGGGTTAGTATCTTGCCCAAGGATAGTTGGCATGCAGCCAGGAGGCAGCCTGGGATCGAACCACCGACCTTCTGATTAGTGGCTGACCTGCTCTGCCACCTGAGCTACAGCCACCCTACATTAGCACACATACATACTACAACTAAGGGTGGTCCTAGATGTCTGCACTTCTATCTATGCACTTACAGGTAAAAACAGAGCAAACAGCAGGCCAACCAACGCACTTCCTCTAGACGGTCTTTTAAGCCGACCGCTCTTTCGTCACCTTGGTTTGGGCTAAAGTTAACGTCATTTACAACAGCTGCAGGAGTCTTTATTTAAACAGAAAGTAAATGTAGACAAAACTGTTCTGTGTGCACATGTTTGTGTGTCTGTGCAGCTTGCCACCATCAGCACTCTTTGCTGATGGACACTTCCATCAGACTAACTTTACCGGCTTGTCTCCAAGTCAGCAACTCTCTGTTTCAGCTGAGGCTGTTTGTTTTGTGATTACAGGTGATTACATTAGTGCCTGGAGCTGCCGAGCTGTGCTAACCTAATGTGAATTTTAAAAAGCTACAAGGCTGATAAAACACCGAACAAGGCTGCTAATACCATTTCTAACTTCTGGAAAAGGTATTTGGCTCCAAGCTAAATGTGAATGTCACACAGGAACACCAGATTAAAACAACGTGTCGGGAGCGCCGAGGAGACGACTGATGGCTTCTGACTTCAAGCCAGAATCTCAGCTCCAGCTCACACAGACTGACAAATACAGAGATGCAGATTTGACCCAATCAATGCTTCAGCTAAACAAACAAGTATGTAAACAAGCTCCTACTCATCCTGATGGCTCCAGTTTTGCTATGCTAGCAAATTCAGTGCAGCTGTACCAGTCTGTGACTTGTGAGCAAATACTGTCACCAAAAAGGCCGACACCGCTGCTCACAGCTACGAGAGGAAACCTGAAGACAGGAACATGACACTGGAGTCCAGCCACAACGAGGCGGTGTACAACACTTCTTGATGCAACTTTATAGCTTATGTCTACACATACATATTGACAGAGGCTGTAACAGCAGATGATATTTGATGCATGTGTTTTTATTGGCCTGTTGCAACTGGAATCAACCACTTTATTCTACACACTGATTGCATGTGAACGCAGAGGTCCAGGATTATCGTGGTCTATGCCTGGTGCTTCAAGACTCTACACTAACTTTGGGGCTTCAAGGTGCAAGTAAGGATTTGGTTGTAAGTTGACAAAAGGTTTCCTTCTGCTCATATCTGAAGATAACAAATTATCAGAACTTTGCCAAAAATGAATACGTAAACACCTTAGAGTCTGCGGCTCTGCGCAAACATCACTCTACCTGGTGTTATTAATCCACTGCTGGGATTTGAAGCCCATAAACTTATTGCTCTAAACAGGAACTCTTGTTGGGGCAAGTGGGAACACGGGAACTCTGAGGACAACAACGATCTTATTTCAGTTAGTTCACAAAGTAAAAAGAAAGCAGAAAACAAACACTGGCAGTGACTATGAGCCCAAATCTGTAATACAGCCAATTCAGCGTGAAAAATCCACACAGGGCCTACACGAGTCCCCGACGCTCTGCTGGGTCTCACTGATGTTTCCTCAGTTGGTATTTGGATGATGGTGCTGAAGAGCTTTGTCCGATTCCCATCGGAGTGCTCACAGCAACCTTGACGAGCGCAGCACGCGGTCAGTTGCAGGGCGTGAGGCTGCAGTGTTGTTCATGTATGTTGTTGTTTACACTGACAGACCCTGGTGCCAATCAGGCTCCAGCAGAGATCGATGCCATTGATGGCTCACAGGTCGACCTGAGCACCGCTCCCTGACCGCCCACACTCAGCTCAGCTGGTTAACGACAGACACCGGGGTTAACGGTCCAAAGATTAACGGGCTCGATAAACGATGACTCAGCCGAAACGGGTTTGTCTCCTAAACACATCTGGGAGGACACGCGCGTGCACGCCAACACACGGGACTCCGCGGCTCAAACCTGCAGAGCAACAACATCTAGCTAGCCTAGTTTGCCTGGCTAACGCTAACGACCTGCTGGTGCTTGTATTGAAGCACATCCGCTGAAGGACCCCTGGTGTTTTCCTGTTAAAGCACGACGGCCATGTTTAAATAAGATTTCTAAAATGAAGTAACCGGTTGTGTAGTTAGCCAGTGTGCTAACTAGCTGCTAGTAGAGGTTTAACGTGAAGCTAACTCACCTCATACTGGATGTACTGCTTCCTCCACTCCGGGGTGATGTGAGCTGACAGATGCTCCGTGAATTTCATGTCGGCCGCGGCGTCAGTCTTCCTCTCCTACCGTTACTATAGCCGGGAGGCGGCAGCGGGAGGCTTTCGCTGCTTACACAGCGACTCTCATCCAAAGATTATGCTCAGAGAGGTGCCCTTTTGTCTTTACGGGTAACCTAGCTAACTACCGGCACAGCATCTCCGCTGTCTCAAACACACTCGACGAAGTGTTCGCGGAGCTGCATCTCAGCTGAAGATAAAAACCGTAATTCTGTTTTTATCGCTGTGTTTCTGGAGGACAGGCCAACAGTGTTGGCGTTAGCTGGGTCTTCCTCGCTCGCTGTCGTTCATCCTCTACCTCTCTCCACCTCCTGTCTCCCGCTGCGTTCGCGTGCAGTGGGAAATATAAGAACGGGCCGAAGATCGGCGAAGGTAAAGTAGTGGTGGGTGTAACGAGGTGTGGCTTTCTTCGTGAGATGTCACCAGATGTGGGGAGTAAACTGGTCGTTTTTAAGCTTAATGGTGAGGTAATGAGCTGGCTTAGAGACGACTCAGCGTCATAATGTCATCACATTTAAATTTATCGAATGAGGCCAACGCAGAAATGCCATAAATGTCACATTTTTAATGGCAGGCTTCCAGCTGAAGTCTTCCCTGCTCTTTGATACCAGTAATGATTTTCTTATAGTCTCAGTCACTAGTTTTATTCTTACTGAAGACAGCGTTATGTTTACTCTGGAAACGAAGGTGCCCATTAGAGTTAAAGAGGAGACACCCGGGTGTGCTTGCTTATGCATCTGTAATAGACACGTAGGTAGCCAGTGTGCCTGTAGCGTCCTGTTTCACTGCATGATCACACTACTTTCACAACTCGAGGATTCGTAATGGCAATGGTGATGGTGACATCATCATCACCAATAGGTGACATCATCATCATGTCTATGTTTCATATATAATCCACGTTTTGTTTTGATTAAAATGTCCTACAAGCCCTCATCTGTGTATCTTAAAGCTAAAAGCACAGGTTCTTTTACTGTCAGTGAGACTTTCTACCAGCATAAATAAAGGACAGTCACTTTGGCAAAAGCTGATTGCAGCTTCTACTTTGTGATGGGAATGTTCTTTCAGGCTTAAAAGGACCTGACATCATGCATGAGAGATTTGTTCGACCTATTACTGACAGACAGACAACAAATGATTTATAACAGTTTAAATTCCTGCCATTTGCCGCTGAAAAAGCTTTTGATTCTGTTAGATGGGAGTTTTTATATCGGGTTCTAAAACGTTTTGGTTTTAATAACCAGATTATCAATTGTTTGAGGTGCTTATATAATTGTCCTTCTGCCAGGATAAAGGTTAATGGGGACGTCTCAGGTTTAGTTCTTCTTAAAAGAGGGTGTAGACAGGGCTGTCCTCTTAGCCCTGCTCTATTTGCACTGTTTATTGAACCATTGGCACAGGCTATTCGACAATGCGAGGAAGTTACAGGAGTTACCATTAACGGCAAAGAGCGTAAGGTTTGTCTATATGCAGATGATGTCCTGGTGACTCCTACTAAACCTGACTTTAGCCTACCAATATTACTATCTTTGCTCAATACGTATGGCTCATACTCTGGTTACAAGTTAAATCTTCATAAAACTCAAATTCTTACCTTTAAATATAATCCAGATAAATATATTCTAAAACTCCTCAAAGAATAATTGGAGTAAAAACGTAATTAAATATTTAGGGGTTCAATGAATGAATAAAAATGACAGTATTACCTAAACTGCCTTATTTATTCCTGGCATTGCCTGTCGAGGTGTCCTCTAGGCAACTTATCGAATGGAAAAGAATGTTCTCAAATTTTGTTTGGGGAAAACACAGACCTAGAATAAAGTATAAGACATTGTAATTATCTAGAAATAAAGGAGGCATGGTCTTCCATGTCTACAAAATGATTGTCAGGCTGCACAGTCAGAGTCCTGACTGCATGATGCGACTCAACATGTGACGCCAAATGGAAAGAAATGGACCAGGCGGAAGTTCGTGTTCCCCTTTCGACTATTCTTGGAGATAAATCATTGATACAGTCATTTTTAAATAAGGTATCCTACTGCATAAATGTACCAGTAAGTATCTGGTTCAGGGAATTTAAAGATAAAACGTTTGAAAGAGATGTGAGAATACTACGGTGACCAGCATATGATACAGCCCTGCAAATATTGACAGTGGGTTTAAAATCTGGTGCAACCTGGGTGTCACTGCATGCTGGAAAATATCATCTGAAAAAGGTTTAGATACCTTTCAACAAATGTCAGTTAATTACAACTTGGAGAGAGGTGATTATTTTAGATATCTCCAATTAAGATCTTAATAACAATATTATGTCTAAGGAGAGAAAATCTCTAGTTCAGATCTTTATAAACATATCCAAAGGGAAAGTGCTAAAAAAACAAATGTCTATGATATACTCAACACTACAAACTGAAAGGAAATTGTCTCCCACCTATATTAAATGTAGAAATGGAGAAAGAGGCTGGAATAGAGCTATCTGAAGAAGATTGGTCTAATATATGTAAAACTACAGCCACTACTATGAAATCAGGCGGGGCCCTTGCTTGATTTAAATGCCATGTTGACATTAGAACTTCATTCTTCTTTTCCCAGTTTTCTCCAGAAAGTAAATATTTCCAACATAATGCTGTGTGCCTGGAAATTCAGCTAAACTGGTTTTTACAGTCATTGATTTCAGTGAGCTGTAGATTCCAATGACACTTGAATGCCACATATATGACGTTGCCACCTTTGGAACCGAGTGACGTTTTTTTGTTTTCCGTATTATTATTTATTTATTAATTATTTAATTTGGACCAGCGGAACGTTTGCGCATGCGCTCTCCGTGTTAGCGCCTGACTCGATCAGATGCGGATTTATTTTGAAGTATTAAAAACAAATATGAAAACACAACACGGGGACCTGCTGGCGTGTAGTAAAATGAGATGATTGCATATGTTTAATGATGACACCGCATCAGCCAGTAATACTGTGATACTGGTTATTCCGCACCCTCACTCAGGCAGGAGATCCACGGTTCATGTTCGAGTGTTTGTCTGCAGTCAGACTCTATGAATCGGTGCGCTGCTGTTACCTAAAACACTCAGCTGGGTTAGGAGCGCAACGGGAAGTGGTCGCGAGCGTGGAGCCGTGTCAGTAACCACGCGGATGCCTGGAGTCTTTGGACTCGACAGTGTGAGGAGCCCCGCTCTCTGGAAAGCCGTGTGGCTAATCAGGCTCTGGGTAGTGATTCAACAAAGTGATTCTCCACGCTGAGCAGCGTTATCGTGCAACCCACGTGGAGTGAAAGACATCAGCGCCATCTGGTGTTTGAACAACGTTTCGCATGTTATAGGGTTGAAGCGTTAAACGGTTTAACTTCATGGTTATTGGTTAAATGACTGACCTGTGACAAAATCACAGAAACAGCGCAGTGTGGAGGAAAACACAACACACGCACAACATGTTCTGTTTGTGGAAGGAGCTCGGAAAGAAACACGCCTGGACAGCTTGTTGAAGAAGCTTCTTCAGCTCTAAGAGCAACAGAGTCCCACATTTGAAGCCCTATGGGAGTGTCCCCAAGAGGGGCGTGGACCCCCTATTGATCCTCTGCCTAATCGAGCAGGGTGTGAAAACAGGTGTGGGTCACAATCAGCCACGGTCTCAGGTGAGCCCACGTCTCATGTAAGTGGGATCTGCGATTGCATTTTAAATATGAAATATTGTGCACCGGCTGCAGTGGTCATGTGTATATCCAGCTGATTGTGAAGGATTAATGTGACATGCCTTGTCTGTGTAAGGACACAGAGAGGTTACATAATCTGTGTGCGTTTGTGTCAGCGTGGATGGAGCAGAGTGGGTGAAACACACAACGAGCGTTTCTGAAATCCTGGAGACAGCTGACAGACCCCCGTGGAAACACCCAGAGACGCAGGGAGACTAAATGCAGCTCAGTCCTTGCTGAGGATTAACAGGCAGCCCGGCTCAGATTAGACTGGCTTGTATAACGAGGACGTTTAGATGTAAACAAGCTAAACAGAATATTAGAAAGAGTGGGCCACAGGAACCTGCTCCCGTCGGGCTTCTGCTCCCACCAGTTTCCTTCACATGAAATTAAGTGACTGCAGCGTTTAACGTAGCCAAATGTCGTCTGAGACCGAACACACGAATACATCTGTTGTTATATCGCTGGGAGCGGCAGTGAGGCCACGCTGCTCTGTGGCTTCCTTGTTATACAGTAAATGTCCCAAAAGTGTTTCTGGTGGAAGCGTGCACGCTCTCTGACCTGCTGGTTTCAGCCTCGCTGTCCAGGTGGCTGCTCACTGCTCACCTGGTTTTTATGTGTTATTTTCAAACATCATTGGTTAGTGGATCAAATGTGTTTGGATCTACTTATGGGTGAGAATGACATATTAGAAGTAGAACATTGTTATCATATGAAACATTACTCTGGTCCCCAGCAGAGCCTCACTCGGGCTTACTTTAGGTTTTCACTGTAAAAAGCTTTTTCAGCTGCTGAAGCGCAGATTTATGGACGCTTTGGTTCTTCACGGTGTGCAAGTCCATTTCAGGCAGAGGAAAGAATTACCACTTTGTATTTGGATCCAAATGTTTTATTATAGAAATCACACAGAAGTCAGCATTTACTGTTATTACACGTACAGCGAGGGTGTTTCTGCAGTGAGACAGTCAAGTCAGCGCACTCCTGGTCAGAGTCACTGTCCTGCTCTGTGCACACATGCATACATAAATAAGTGCACAGCAGCTTTTACTGTAATCCGGCTGCGGTGGAGCAGCAGAGGCTCCTCTCTTGGCATTCACCGCGTGCCTTAATTGACTGATTTTAAATCAAGGTCCACTGTGAACACTGAGGGAGGAAGCCAGGCGTCACAGACAGATGCTGGTGATGACCTTTAGGTTAAACTTTCTGTTCAGGTCCATTTCTCTCTCACACATGCATGTCTACAGGTCTGTAGTACTCACACAGCTGCCGTGGTTCCTGTGAGACTCACTTTTTTACCTGTAGTGCTTATTTCCCTGCTCACCTTGTTCCTTTCTGTGTCCTTCACAGCAGCTGTGAGCTGGTAACACCTGCCTGCCCAACAAACGCAGTGAACAGCAAAAAAGAGCTTTTTCCTGTCAAGGACACATCAAGCAGGCAGCCATTACACAGCAGAGCCCGGCTGCCAGGCTGGAGATCCGATGGAGCCTCATCAGAATGTAAACAGATGGAGGAGGATCACGCGGAGTGAAGATAGAGATGCTGTTAACAGAAATCTGTTTGTCTTTTATGCTAAACTGTCATTAGTCCTTAAATCTGCATAAGTAACGCTATATTCTGTTCACAGTGATGTTACACAAATGTGATT